TGGTGGGCTGAGCTGGCCACACACACACACACAAATAAAATTTAAAAAAAATAAAAAAATAAACTCTTGTGCATGTAGCAAAGTCTCTCTGTTTGAATAATCCTAAAATCAAGATTACATTTATACAGAGGATATCTTTCAGTCCTCAAGCTACTCCTAAAAGGGTTTCCTAGATGACGTTTTGATCAAAGGGCACGTTTTAGTTAGGAGGATGTTTCAGATATCTGTTGTACATCATAGTAACTGCACTCAATAACAGTATATTTTGTGTATGGCATTGCTAAGAAAGGTATAGAAGAAATAATTTGGGAACTAAAAAATGTGGTAACTGTAATCAAAGAAGTTCTAAGTGCTTCTAAAGAATACACTGATAAAAAAATAAAGTATCCTTACACAAAACAAATATGGCATATGTTAATTTGCTTGATTTAGCTATTCTAGACTATATATACGTATAAAAATGTTTGCCATAAACATAGTTTTTACTTATCAAATAATTTTTTAGTATTTATTTATTTATTTGTTTATTGGGTACAGGGTCTTGCTATACAGCATGGACTTGTAGTGATCCTCCTGTTTCATTCTCCTCAGTGCTGGGATTTTAGGCATGCACCACCATGCCAAATTTCAGTGGCTGGCACAGTGTACCCGGAAGCTGGCACGGCATGCAGTGCTAGGAATCAAACCCAGGTCCTTGTGCTTGCCAGGCAGGCACTTAGATCACTGAGCTATCTCCCCAGCCCCAATTAAATAATTTTTAAAACTATTTTTGCAAAGCCTTAAGAATTAAGTAGTGTATAATACAAAGCAGTGGGTATATAGTTAATGAGGCATATCAATATTATAAATAAACATGATTTGTAAGTTTGTAGCATTTATACTTATGATATTTGGTTTTGTGTTTTGTTTTTTGAGACAGAGTCTCACTATGTAATTCAGGCTGGCCTTGAACTCATTATGTAGCCCAGGCTGGCCTCCAACTCACCGCAGGTTTTCTGCCTCCCAAGTGCTGGGATTACAGGCATATGCCACTATATCCAGCTTTCTGAAGTTATTAAAGCTTGAAACTACACTATGACTTTTTGGTCTTAAGTGTACCCTTTACATATATAAAACCTCACATATTTTCCTTTGCTTTTTGAAGTAGGTAAAATCTAGTTTTTTGTTTGTATGTAACAATATATGTGATAGAGATAATAAAATAGCTTTCTTTCATCTAGACTGATCTCACAATGTTGAAATTAGCAGCATTAGAGAGTAATAAAAACCAGGACCTGGAAAAAAAGGAAGGTCATATAGATGATTTGCTCAGGGTAAGTAATAAATCATGGAGGGGGAAAATTGAGTACTGTAAATTATTTGGCGACAGAGAAACTGTTAAGAAAAATACTTAGTATGGTAAAAGTACTCTATATCTAGAAAACAGCAAGCTTTAGTTTAAGTACCTGATTGAAATTTCAACTTTAAAATGAAAATAATTCTGCTAGTTTTTGAAATGAATTGAGAAACAAAGAAATAGATGTTTTATCAACTTTTCATCAAATGGATATCCATTTCATGTAAATTGATTTTTGTTATATTCCCACCTGACATCTGATACCATTGAGAATGAAATAACTGCCATGGTCCTGTGGGATTTTTAATGAAAACTTTATTCAGAAGTACAGTTTTAAGTAGTTCTTGTCCTTTACTGCTGCTTAGAAACACCAGAGGAAAAGGGTAGGAATACAAATACCTTTAAATCTACCTTATGGAATTCTGATCAAGTTGATATGATATTGTTTTGAGTATTGATAGTTTTAAAAGTTGCTGTGGACTATTCTGGTTTAAGCCCAAGCTGAGAACCCTTGGTATAGAAATAGTAAAACAACACTGTAATTCTGCTACACTCACTAGTATTTTTGGAATGTCTAGTGTTTCCTAATCTCATCCCATTTATTCCTTTAGACCTATTTTCTGTTAACTACTATTCCAAAATTTGTATTTCTTTATGGCTGTATTATATTTTTATTTTATTAACAATGTATTACTTCAGTTTGTGTTTGAACTTTGAGTAAAATTAGCCTCTATGGATTTGCCCTGCTGTCTTCATTGAGTAGTATATAAAAGAGAGTTGCCCACATTGATAAGTATAACTAGTGTTTGCTTATTTTTGCTTTTGACATTTTGCTTCTTCTTGGCTAATGACATTCTTGTACATCTTTACTCCCCGCCTTTTTTGTTTTTTAAGACAGTATCTTACTATGTAGTTCAGGCTGGCCTTGAACTCACCATGTAACCTACACTGACCTCAGACCTTTGCCAGTTCTCCTGCCTCAGTCTCCCAAGTGCTAGAATTACAGGCATGTGCCACCATACACAGCCATCCTTATTTTCTGAGGAAAATGTGGAAGAATTTTTCATGGAATATGCTTAGGAAAAATGTGGCAGTGTATAGGGCATGTACGTCTTCTACTTTACTCTATGATGCTGGTATTTTTTTCTAAAGTGATTGCTTCAGTTTATATTCCCAAAGACAGTGGTACAGAAAGACTTTTTTTTTTTTCATTATCCTTGCCAAGATTTGGTATTGAAATAATTTTTTAAAAATGGTAGTCTAATCTGATGGCTGTAACATAGTATTTTTTTTTTTTTTTTTTTTTTTT